ACCATATCTGCTGTTTCAACAGCGCTGACAGCCGTCTTTGTGTGGTGTCACTACGGTTGTTGACACCCTGCTCTGCTGCTCCTTCAGATGCTTTGCCCCTACTCCCAAGCTGAGAAGTGAAGTGATACACTCAGTAAGGAAGCAGAAAAAGGTGGTAAAAGGAAAGTAACGTGATAATATAATCCATGAATAAAGTCAAACACCTCTCTGCTTTCTCCTTCCCAGGACTTTTCCATGGCCCAAGTCACCATTGGAACAGCTGAGTATGGTGGGATTACTCCTGTGTGCACATTTTTTTGCCAAACTCAATCCAAAAATCACTTTCCTCTAGTACCAACAGGCACGTTTTCACGTATTAGAAAAATATACCCAACTCCTTATGTAAGCAAGTCTAGTGTCCTCATGAACATAAATGTCAGTTACACACTCTTAGATTTAGTAAAGCCCCTGAGCAGAATGTATGGTTGGAATACTGAGGAGAAATACCCATGGTTGTAACCCATGTGTGCTGCTACCTTTTGTTTGTTTTTCCAGAAAATCACAGGATGGCTGAGGCTTTTGTCACATTTCATCAACTGATTTGTATTAGCAACCTTTGTAAAACTCCAGCTATACTTTATGCAAAGCTTATGTAAGTCCCCTAGGATTAATTACCTCACTCAGAGTCCAATTTATTTAGCAATTAGGAAAAACTAGACAGTAGCTGGTGGGTTTGCTGTTTTGAAATGAAAGGCCAGAGTCCTTAGGTCTGTTCCCAGGCTAAATGCTAGTTTTAGAAATTCATTATTTGAAAGTCTCTAAACAATTACTTTACATTGCGATTTTTTTGCATCATCTAGCCTCCAAATAACTTCCCTGTTCAAACTGTGAGCATACTAACAAAACCCCAAACCAACAGGAATGTAAATTGTTTACATGATAGTTTTCAGAATCAACTTTTTTTTTTCTCAGCCTGAATTCATCACATTGGTAACACTGGTCTCAGGAAATGCACTGTGACACTGTGTAAAATGTTGTGACACCATTGAGGAAGTCACTGGAACCACCAGTAAAAGCTATCAAGGAGAAACCTTGCTTTAAGCAGAAATCCAACACCAGAATCATGTGCTCTCTAAAAAATAATGGAGACTTTGGCTCTGCAAGCCTCCCAGAGCCCTGTTCCCAGGAAGAGGAGACCTGTACGCTGCAAAGCCCCTGGACTGGGCAGTGTCCCAGCTATGCACAGATGCCTGCCTGTGCCATAGGGCAGCCTGGCTGCCCCAGGGAGCTGCTCTTTCAGCACATTTACACCAGAAGTCACAAGAAACTACAGTTTTTGAAGGCAACCTCTGGGACTTCTTACACAGCATCTGCAGCTGGGAAATCCTCCTGCATATACCCCATGGCTTTAGAGACCTTTCACTATTGCTGCAGCCCATCTGGCTCTAGACCCACCTTTCAACTTTCACGCTGCCCATTTGGCTGTAAGGGCAGCTCTCAGGATCAGTGGTTTCACTGTCTATTCAACAAGTACAAAGCACTGCCTTGCACAGCACATGCCAATCACATCATTTCACAATATTACTAATATTTTCTGAGGAACAGCTTGACACATATAGCACAATTACTTGGAACACAGTGGATGAACACTGCTGTACAGAAGCTACGTAACGAGCATGAACTGATCTGGAGGGGCTGTAGCTGTCAGGGCTTCAATGCCAACTTGCCTTGAGTCAACGGGGATAGACTGTTTTGCAACAGCTGAGGTTTTGGCCTAGAGGAATATAAATATTTGGATATCACATTACTTATTAACTCACTAGATAATGATGTGAGATGGCTTAACAAAGTCTTAAAGAGATCATGCACGTTCCTACTGTAAAGCTTGCAAGAGCTCCTTTTAAAAGTGTACTAACTTTTCTTAAGGGAGATTTAAGGTAAGTGTGGCCCATTTTAGGGATCTTTTAGATGTGGTTCTGATGCACACTGTAAGTTCTCTTTGCCTCTCCCTATACTTACTATATTTACATTTTTTGTGAATTCAACAAGCGGATTCTATCTGATTTTATCTTAATGGCTTTTCACGTATTACACTGACTGTTAAAAATAAAGCAAAAAGTGAAGTATTTGCTGTGAAATTCTTAATGCTCTCTGCTGGCTCCAGATAGTACAGACTCTCTGGCCTTCCACAGATTTTCTGGAAGAAATGTCTCATTAATGGCTCTTTTACCCTAGACATATTTAACATTAACACATTTCTTTCCTTATCTCCTTCTTCCAGAGATAAGTGCCCACTAGCTCATGAAAGCTGAGTCTTGTGAGTGTGCACTGTAGACCATATATTTTAGGTTTTCTGCAAATCTTCTATGCTCGTCATGACCTTCTACAGCCTCCTATGGTCTCATCCACTGGAGACTACATAGCGTGTCCCAACTACGCATCTTGGAAAATGTCAGCTAACGTGAATAAGACTGAAGGTGCAGAAGAGGACAGGGGATCTGCTGTGCGTTTTCTTTCCCTCTGGAGGACTGGGAAGCAAAAGAACTGCTCCCTGGGGCGTGAGTGCTTCAGAGCAAAGAGGAGGCAGCATTAGCAAAGGACACTAAGTCCTTAAGGATTCACTGCCACTTTTCCACTCTGAGTAATTCCCTGAGAGCGCAAGAAAAGCTGTCAGGGGGTTCTCTGATTTATGGCTATTCAACGCTTTACCCTCCTTCTGCAGGAGCTGTCACAGCTGCAGTCCTAAAGACAATAGCCAGGGAAGAGATCCACTGAGAAAGGTCCCTGGGAAAGTAGTTCCTCCTCCTCCCACCCCCTCCTCTCCACTGGGAGGTTTGTATTTTGCTTCTGTGTCACATCAGGTGTAGGTAGGTAGCTGCTGCCCAGCACAGATAAAACTCAAACAGCAAATGCAGACCGGGGTTTTACACCTTCCATGCTCAGACTTGGTAACGAAGCTGCTCTGCCAATTCGATGCATTCAGGGGGTTTAAAGCGGGGAGGCAAAGGGCTGTGCTCTATTGTCTCTGTATTGCACTGCCTCTTTAAAATCAGAAATGCATGGACAGCTTCAAGGTGCCTCCCACTGAGAAAAGGCTTTAGATGCATGCACAGAGTCAGCGGAGCCGTCCTCCCCTGAGCAGCAGGGCAAACCTGCTTGAGAGAAATAACCATTCAGCAAAGTCCTCTGGCTGCTTTCAGTGATCCTTTCTCTGCTCCAGTGACAGCAGCACATTGGCAGGGGAGAAACCTGGAGGCTATCCCCAGGGTGCCTGAGACCTCCAAGAAGGTAAGAGCAACTGCAAGTACAGTTAGCTGATGGTATTATGTCAGTTTGTGGATGGTTGGGTTGTCTTTATTTATGTCAAAGCGCGCTCTCGGTATTTTGCAGGGAAACCTGTCTGAAACAGTACTGCTCCTTGCTTTGACCAACATACAGATTTTGCATCTAGGTATTTATTTACTACTTCTCTTAAATGAATGGTCACATTTCCAGGCAGCTGTGGGGATGCCTTGTAAAGCAGTCAATTGTTTGAGCTGTTATTTAGTTTCAGCCTCTGGCTTTCTGTTACTCTGTGGTTCTGCAACTCTGAGTTTGAAAAGCAAGGTGGAGACAGAAGTTGTACAAGAGAGTTTCTCTCAGAAATTTATTAAGTATCATCAGGGGCTGAGGGTGGTCGAGGGAAAGAAGGGGGCAACAGCTCCACTATGCAGATCGTCCTTTGTAGCCATGATGGACATAGTTCAATAGCATTTGACAGCCTGAAGATCTACTGTCTCAAAGCAGAACAAGCAATAACGCCCTCTGATTCTCTTCTGGGATGAGGTGGGACTGTCCTGACAGCGAGGAGCCTGGTATGAGGCTTCCCAGATGTGGCATGGGAAGATGCAAGAAGACAGCCCTCTCAGCATTTTGATAGAGAGTAGAGGCAAAATTAGGGAGTAGATTAGATTTTTTTACCTCAGTGTCAAAAATAAATCAATTTTTAAGATTTGGTACAACCGGCAGTACAAAGAGGGAAACCTGCTCCTCCTCCTTCAAAAATTCAAGGCACTTTGTCTTGCTTAACGAAGATTTTCCCTTTCACCTCAAGAGCCTGTTTGTGGAAGCACTCTCCCTGTAAATGGCAGATTTGCCTTCACAGCAAAGCCCTACAAGCTGGTTTATGGGACAAAATCTTGTCTATGCAAATTGGCAGAGCTCCACTGGTTTGAGAGAAGCAATAATGGATTATGCTGGATGAAAATTTGGTCCCTCTACTCAATTAATGGCTGCCAAAATGGAAGGTGCTGGCTTTGCTATTTTCTTGGGTCTTGGCAACTCTGACATAATTAAGAAATGTATTTAGAAGTCAGGACATAAGTTCTTCTTTCATTCTTACCTACCACATCACTCTGACTGAGACATCTAGCATAAAGCAAACACTTTGTCCAAAAGGCACATCAGATACTTTTCAGCAAATTGAGGTGTCATCTCACTTTAGTTTTTTTTACTTTGCACAGGGATGACAGCTCTGTGGGCTTGAAGGCTGGCAGAGGTTTAAACTAGATTTTACACTCCTATATTGTCATTTCCGTGCGTGCTCATAAGAAAATTTCATCGTTGGTAAATAAAACTTCTGGGTGTAACCACCAGTGTATTATGTAACTCAGCGGATTTTATGACAACAGAAGCATCCTTTCACAGGGTATTTCTTCCCACTGTGCACAACCAGCAATATTGCTGTGGGGCAATAAGGTGGCTATTGCTTTCCCTCGAGCACAGTATTTTTGCTGTAATTTCCTCTCAGGAAATGTTTTCCTCTTTTTGTTCCCACAGAGGGAGATAAATGAGGCCGTTGCTCTGTAATCTCACGGGGACAAAGACAAGGTGACTCACTGCTCAGCAGGACACTTTGGC